CCTGGGTGGCTAACCCTCCGGGGTTAGAAATCCGAACGAAATCTTATCTTATCTTATCTTATCTTATCAGACAGCAAGCTGCACAATGTTCCTGCTACGAGCTTCACCCTAAGCTCAACCGTTTCTCTAAGTCCAGCTCCAGCTCTCGGACAGGCTACCCATATTACAACCCAGGAATCCAAATGGCCTGTTATCCCGGGTGTAATGGGAGCAAAATAAACACAGCAGAAAAAGTTTAGTCTTATATTATCCTTCACCAATTTAGAACAGCAATATGTACACTATGTACAGTGATAAGTATAGTGCACTCCACGGTAAGCAAGGCAGAAATAGAAGCCACAAGATAGCAGACCGTGCTTCAACCAGCTCTAGAATGGGAATGACAAGGGCAGACAGGAGAGCGGTACCCACATAACCTCTGCGATTGCCAAAACCATCTTCTTATTGGCTAGAACCTGGTCACTAGTCGAACGACGGGGCCCCATCATCAACTCTTAGCAACCTGGTTCGCTGGTTGGGGGAGATAGCCTGTAAATGAGGGTGTGTACATGCGCTGGCCTAATGAAGGTTACGTACTCTTTGCATGCCACACTTGGTTTGGGCATGAAACCCATATACAGTGGACCCTCGACCAACGATGACATTGTATAACGTTAAATCCGACTAGCGATACACTTTAACGCTAACATTTTGCCTCGATTAACACTAAAAAACTCAACTAACGATATTCGTTCTCGGGTATCAGTTAATATTGTTAGTCGAGGGTCCACTGTATTACTGCTTGGAATAGGACAGCCTTAATCACCTTGTGTTTGCCCAAAAAACTGCAGTTTATATGGCATTGCAAGTGAGATTAAGACTTACCTTTCTTGTGTAACATGAACTTATGGCATTGACAGCACTGTTAAGGGTGATATCGGTGATATGACTGAAGGCTTGAGTGTCTCGGGGAATGTTGCACAAATATTCGGCACTACGCCGGGAATGTTCATTGCAATCACTTGCATTACAGGTTGCACTTCACCATTCAGTATCATCATTTGTTCATAGTTTCGTGGCATTATCCACAATAGGGAGAACATAGAGACGCAGTAAGCACTACGTGATTAGTTCTACCGCGAATTTCCTGACTCTTTAAGGAAACTAGTCTGACTTTCCTAGTTTCCTGAGATTGTCAGAATGAACAAGAGCCAAGAATGCACTGGTCACTACTGTCCCTTTGTCTTTTAACAATAAGGAGGCAATGCCCTCGTGACACACATCCCATCCGTTCTTTGAAGCAGTCTGAGCCCTGCTGCCCCTTGTCGCCCTCCTCATCGTCCCCACAAAGGATATGCTGAACTCAGCTTTATATTTCTTCCTTGCCACACATTGCAACAGTATTCAATACAAGAGGGTAGGTTTCTTGTTATTTACCTATAGACTAGAATTCCTAATAGTCTCAACTTATAGATAAAGTGGGGTGCAGGTTTACCCTTAATTTTCCTGCTATGGAGAAAAGAATAATTACTCTCGTTTAACCCTCACTGTGTAGTTGATCAAGAATTCTAGCAAGGAGAGGAAAGCGTGCCTTGTGACGCTGTAGTACATACATGTGGGTTTAATCAAGCTGTTTGTGAGGAAGGAAGAGTCTGCTAGCCCCTTCCGGGGGGCTAAGTCCCTCAGAGGGCTGGGGGGGGGGGGTTGAGAGGGCTAAGAGATTCCCTCTATACTGGAAAATTTTCAACACACACGCAGTGCATAATGAGAAAATTCACTGTGACCATGTTTTTGGTTTAAAACAGTGACTTTGCAGTGTATTTTTGTATGACATTTGTTGTTGTATTCTTGTTTTCTTGGTTTCATTTGATAAAATGGAAGATATGTTACAGAAATAAAGATGATTGTGAATGATATAAAGACTAAAAGTAGCTTGAAATTGAGCTCAAAATAGCAGTAATGTTCAATTTTTGCCAGTGTTCAAGAGTAAACAAATCACGTCACACGTCTAATACACATCAACTGGTGTGTCTAATATGCATTCACAAATGTGCTGATATTATTTATACAATTTTTACAACTATGCTATAGTTTGAATAACAGTAAGTCTTCTACTTTTTGTGTGAATAAAAATTCAAAATAAAAGCAAGCATAATATAAGAGGGTGTTAGGTAAGACACATATGCAACAGTTAGGTATCTTTATTTCGAAACGTTTCGCCTACACAGTAGGCTTCTTCAGTCGAGTACAAAAAAGTTGATAGAAGCAGAAGATTCTTGAAGACAATGTAATCAGTGCATCACTCTTGAGGTTTTGAGGTGGTCAGTCCCTCAGTCTGGAGAAGAGTATTGTTCCATAGTCTGAAACAATATGGAGTTGAAGTATGTATGTATAATGTTCGCCAAGACCATAGTCCTGGCACGGGTCCCAATCTTGCGATGACCCGTCTCTGGCTCCCAATGGAGAAAGGTTTCCACAATGATGCGACGCATGCCGCTCAAGCGCCCCTCTGGTCAGTTCAACTGGTGCATCTCATAAGCGACACCATATGTAACTATGGACACTAGCGAGGAGGAGGATATGTCATTATTACAGGTAACAGCTTGTCTGGTTCGTTGACCCCATGGTACACTAGTGTGGCCGCAGTCATCTCTGGGTCCTCTTCGGGAGGGAATATCACCCCTAGTTGCCTGCGGAGTGTCTCAGTAGCTTCGCACTCTAGAAGATAGTGTGTTAGGGGCCGCTGGACAACGTGCTGACAGTACTGGCACATCTCCTCCTCAGCCTTGTCTACCATCCTCTTGGCTGTGGGAAACCCCAAACGAAGCCAATGGATGGCGGTACACTGCGCTCTGGACCAGCTTCTATCATATGGAGGGGGTTCTCCCCGAGTCGCTTCTCGGTACCACTGTTGAGATGGGGTATCACCTAAGACCTCCCCCATAAGTTTCGTGGCTCTGGCAGCCACCAGTTTGNGTCTGTCGTAGGCTGATTGGGACAGTAATCCCAACATGTGGATAGTCTGTTGCTGCCTTGGCTGCATCATCTGCCGCCTCATTTCCCCGGATGCCAGCATGGCTGGGGATCCAGTTCAATGTCGATCTATTACCCTGAACTTCTAAGGCTGTCATTATGCTCAGGATCGATGTGATGAGGTGAACATTATCCTGTGGTTGAGGATGGGAGAGGGCATTGATTGCAGAGGTGGAATCAACATGTATGACAGGTCGGAGTCGATGTCGTAGGGCATGTGACAATGCCTGCTGAATCGCCACCAGCTCAGCTTGAAGGATCGTGCAGTGGTCAGGGAGTCGCCAGCTTTGTGTGTGACCATTGTGGTACAGTCCAGCTGCTGCTCTCTTCCTGTCAGGGTCGACAGAACCATCTGTGAAATACACTGCACATGTGCCTCCCTCTGCCAGTGCCATGCTTGTCTCAGCATGATTGCTGAGGGTGTCTTGACTGCAGAGACTCTTAGAGATGGGTAGCTGCATGATGAAAACATCGGCTGGATCTGGGCGCCAGGGAGGTGGTGGATGGTACCCAGCAACAGGAAGGTCACAACTCTTCTCACAGAGCAGCTGTACAGGCAGCAGCTTCCGCCCAGCAGCACAAAACGAACGAATCCAGGAGTAGTCCGTGAAGAGTGTGGGATCTTGTGACATGGTTGTTAATATCCGTCTCCTCAGTGGGGTACCTTGCTGCCGGTGCAGAATCGTGGCCACTTTGCAGGCGTTTATGTATCTTACTCTGTCAGCCAAGGAAGGAAGCCGGGCCTCAGATCTGAGACATACTGTGTTGGTCCAGATGGGGGCACCAAGCATAGTTCTTATCGCCTGGTTTTGTACGACCTCCACCCTTTGCCTGCTCTGTGGGAAGAGATGAGCTAAAGCCGGTGCACCATAGTCAATGAGCGAGCGAATAGCTTGTATATAGTACAAGCGAAGTACATCTTTGCTTGCCCCTGCACGGTGCCTCGTCATGGCTCTCATGGCGTTGAGTCTGAGTAGAGCACGTGACCTGACATACTCGGCCTGTTTCTGAAAGGTCATCTTTTTATCAATGTAGATTCCCAAGTACAGGTAGGAGCCTGTCCACTCAAGTTCTATATCCTGAATATGTAATCTATTCATAGGATCTGTTCCCTTGAACATCATTGCAAGAGATTGGAGTTGAAGTGACAGGATGGAGCCTTATATGTATAACGCCAGGAGGTGAGATGTAGGCCATTAGTAGAGGTAAGAATGTAGTTGTTGGAAGGTCAGGTCCCTCTCAAATCCAGCCATTCTCGCTAGTAGAAATAAAGATACCTAACTGTTGCATATGTGTCTTACCCAACAATCTGTCGGTATTTTATACCATTTTAATGTTCATAATATAAGAGGGGCCTAGAGATGTGACTAATAAACAGCGAAAATGTTATTTTAGTTCCAGGAGTATCCACATTGTTTATTCTGGACCCTAATTTGAAATTGGCCTTTCTTGAATTTTGTGTGAAATTGGCCAAATTAGTAATTTCAAATTATACTTTATTGGGTAGTTGAAATAGGTAAATGGGCAGTTTCTTGTATTCAGTCGATAGAATGAAAGGAATTCTACCAAAATAGCTATTAGTTTGGTCGGCTGGAACAATGGAATTGGCCCAAAATAAGGCTCAAAGTGGGCGAAATCGCTGGTGTAAATATTGCCAAGACCGATAACTTTGCAATAGTTAATTCTGTAAGTTTTCAATAAAATTTCATACTTATGGTTTCATTACCTTTGGAAAAAGATTCTCCATCATTTCATAAGAAAAAATTTTTTTTTTTTTTAAATTCTTCAACCCTGGGAGCATTGTACACTGACAATCAGAGCACATATGAAAATCTTGCTCGAAAACTGATTTGTTCGACAACTAATGCATTCAACAGCCATAGTTCCACTGTACTTCTAATACAATAATACCTATACTGATACTTATAGTACTGTACTTACTAATACTATAATACTTGCTAATATTTATATTCTTATAATCATGGCAGCTGAACAGGTGGAGAAAAAATTGGAAGAGCTGTCACAAAAAATTTCGAAGGCTTCGCAGAAGCAAGTGGAGCTGCGGACCAGTCAAGAAGAAGCACTTACCACCAGACGTTCCATTGAGCGCAAGATCGCTGCCTGTGAGCAGGAGTTAAACAGTATTCAAGTGAGTAAAACCAGTACAGGTGAGCCCCGCTTTACAATACTTTGCTTTATGGTGTTTTGCTTTACAGTACAGGAAGGCCCCACTTATACGGCGGGTTAGGTTCCAGGCTAGCGCCGTAAAGCGGAAATCGCCGTAAAGTGGAACACCCTTTTTTTCCACTTATAAATGCATACAAACACTAGATAACAAGTTTACACTAACATATATTAAGTTAGCAATAGAACCAGGCATCAAAAAACAATAAAAAGGTACAATACAACACATAGTGCACTCATTACTTACCTTAAAATATTTATAGTCTTAATCTAGGGTGAGACAGTAGTATTTATTGTAAGAAATCAAGTGTGGTATGTATTGTAATAGGCAGGCTATTTCACCAGGCCACCACCCACCCACACATACTATTCTATGATATTTAAGCATCCCAGAGCGATAAAATGTATATACAGTTCACTCATTACTTACCTTAAAAATATTTGTAGTCTTAATGTAGGGTCAGGAGTAAGTAAATGAGATAAAACGAATAAATGAGAGAGAGAAAGAATGAATACATGAGAGGTGACAGGCCAGGCACAGAGTAAACAAACCAGGCCCCCACATCTTATATTTATGTTTATTTATTCTATTGTGGGGTGTATTTATCATCTTTTTATGTTATGTATCGTGTTTATTATATAATTTTGAAAAAAATATCATGGCTGGATTAATGAAAATGTGTATATTAACGTAATATACGACATTTAATGAGACTCAGTATTGTTATTATCACCACTTGTGGAAGTCGTCTGCTAACACAGCTCACATTTGTTTATTTATTCTACTGTGGGGTGTATTTATCTTATTTATATGTTATGCATCGTGTTTATTATATAATTTTGAAAAAAATATCATGGATGGATTAATGAAAATGTGTATATTAACGTAATATACGACATTTAATGAGACTCAGTATTGTTATTATCACCACTTGTGGAAGTCGTCTGCTACACAGCTCACATTTATGTTTATTTATTCTACTGTGGGGTGTATTTATCTTATTTATATGTTATGCATCGTGTTTATTATATAATTTTGAAAAAAATATCATGGATGGATTAATGAAAATGTGTATATTAACGTAATATACGACATTTAAATGACTTGATGTATGTAAGTTTATTTAGGTACAGGTATACATAAGTATAATTATCAGAGTATATATAAAATATGAAATAACTTTTAAAAACATTTGAAATTTTGGAGTTTCCAGACAAAATGGAGAGACTTAGTGCTTACTGAGCTCATGGAGAATGTAAACAAACAGGGTGGGGCACGGTGACCGTATTAGAAAGTCAGGTGGGGGGAGCCGTATAGTGAGTTTTGGTCATAATTTGAAATGTCCGTATTAGCGGAACGCCGTAAAGTGAAACGCCGTAAAGCGGGGCCTTCCTGTACTTCACTTTATGGTACTTCACTTTACAGCACTTTGCTTTACAGTACTTCACTTTATGGTACTTCACTTTACAGCACTTTGCTTTACAGTACTTCACTTTATGGTACTTCACTTTACAGCACTTTGCTTTACAGTACTTCACTTTATGGTACTTCACTTTACAGCACTTTGCTTTACAGTACTTCACTTTATGGTACTTCACTTTACAGCACTTTGCTTTACAGTACTTCACTTTATGGTACTTCACTTTACAGCACTTTGCTTTACAGTGTTTTCCTTCACAGTGCTTCACTTCATGGCATTTGCTAATGCAGCAGTTGTCAGTTATAATCATTCTTCAATTATTTAGACTTCCTACAGTAAATATATTCACCACTCACTATAAACTAAGGACAAAAATATTTGGAGGTGAGGAATTTGTGTACTGTACATATATGCATTTTTTAGGCCTAGCTCTATTGCTCATTTAATGTATGATAAGGCAAACATGTTATCAGACTTTTATACATATTTGAAAGTGAAATAAGGCTATGTTTCACTTTACAGTGATTTTCAGTTTCAGCAGTAAAGTAAATGTAGAAATGTAAAGAAATGTAGCTTAATTTTCCCCATTGTTCATATATTGACAGCTTGATATGGCATAAGATGCCTGTGGCCTATAAATTCTAAGGAGGAGGAGGAGGAGGAGGAGATGGCTGATGCTACTTCTTGCATATAGTGAGTGCATGTCAAAACATAAACTTGACTACATCCAACTTGACCCAGCAGGACCACATAGCTTCTCACCTCCATTCTTCAGATCCTTCATGTACAGGCATACCTCGTTAATACGGCACTCACTTCTGAGCACTTTGCTAATGTGGCACTTTTCAGTTACATTCACGTTTATTATTTTTGGCACTTGCCTTTCTCTTCAGATGGTTTTTCAGCAGTTTTATTTTTTTTATTTTTAGTGTTGCATCTTTATTTAGGTCTAGTGCTGTTGCTCATTTAATAAATGATAATGTAAACAAGTGAAAAAGAGAATGAGATTTGCTTTACGGTGATGGTCTGGAACTCAGCCCACCACATTAGGGAGATATCCCCATAATGATTTAACAGAATGTAATTTAACCCTTTCAGGGTCCGTCCCGTAGATCTACGGCTTTACGTTCAGGGTCCAAACCGTAGATCTACGCCATGAGCTCAGCTCACTCTGATAAACTGTGAGTGGTACATTTGGGCCTAGATATGAGAGAATACATCTATGTGGTATGTGTGCACCACATAAAACAGATCCTGCAGCACACTGTGTATAATGAGAGAAAAAAAATGAAATCATGATTTTTCGATTAAAACAGCAACTTTGCAGTGTTTTTTCGTATGTTTTTTATAGTTGTATTTGCGATTTCTTGGTCTCATTTGATAGAATGGAAGACATATTACAGAAATAGAGATGATTTTGATTGGTTTTAGCACTGGAAATGGCTTGAAACTGAGCTCAAAGTAGCAGAAATGTTAAATTTTTGCCGATATTCAAGAGTAAACAAACGACCTCACACGTCTAATACACGTCAGCTGGTGGGTCTAATATACATTCACAAATATGGTGATGATATTTATACAATTATTACAGTATTGCATAACAGTAAATTTTCTTTTTTTTGGTGTGAATAAAAATTCATTATGTGAATAAAAATCAAAATGGAATTTATTTGTAAAGCCTCAAAACATAACTAATGAACAGAGGAAATGTTAGTTTAGTGCCAGGAATGCCTACATTGTTCATTCTGGACCCTATTTTGAAATTGGAATATTTTGAACTTTGTGTTAAATTGGCCAAATTAACAATTTCCGATCACTTTATTTTGTAGTTGAAACAGTTGACTTGGCGATTTCTTGTGCTCAATCGATAGAATAGAAGTAATACTAGTGAAATAGCTAAGAATTTGGTTGATTGGAATAATGTAATTGGCCTAAAATGGGAGTCAAAGTCGGCAAAATCGCCGATTCGTAAATATCGCTGACACATCAAAATTCGCGAGAGCATAATTTCGTCAATTTTCCACCAAATTTCGTACTTTTTGTTTTATTACCTTCACAAAAAGATTCTCTACGATTTCATAAGAAAAAATAACAAATTTTTTTTTTGAAAATTCTTGGACACTGGTGCGTGACTCCAGATTTGGGCCTTGGACCCTGAAAGGGTTAACATAATTGAGTTCTAATTTTCAGAAAATAATCCCCAAGTTAGTTGATGGTCCACCGTATCTCTTTAAATGAAAAGTGAAAAATGTAACTGATGGATCTAAAGTGGAGGAAATTGATTTTGGAGGATTGTGAGGTACATAACTTATAGTTGTGAGACTTTTGGATTTTTATAATTCTAGTCTGCCTTTAACCCCTTAACTGTTCAAACAAAGATCTACGTTCTCTCACCCAGTGCCTCGAATATTTTGAAAAGAAAAATATTTTTTTTAATTTATTTCTTCTATTGTCCATGGGGAAGTGGAAAAGAACCTTTCCTCCGTAAGCCATGCGTGTCGTATGAGGCGACTGAAATGCCGGGAGCAATGGGCTAGTAACCCCTTCTCCTGTAGACATTTACTAAAAAAGAGAAGAAAAACTTTATAAAACTGGGGTGCTTAAATGTGCGTGGATGTAGTGCGGATGACAAGAAACAGATGATTGCTGATGTTATGAATGAAAAGAAGTTGGATGTCCTGGCCCTAAGCGAAACAAAGCTGAAGGGGGTAGGGGAGTTTCGGTGGGGGGGAAAAAAATGGGATTAAATCTGGAGTATCTGAGAGAGTTTAGAGCAAAGGAAGGGGTAGCAGTAATGTTGAATGATCAGTTATGGAAGGAGAAAAGAGAATATGAATGTGTAAATTCAAGAATTATGTGGATTAAAGTAAAGGTTGGATGCGAGAAGTGGGTCATAATAAGCGTGTATGCACCTGGAGAAGAGAGGAATGCAGAGGAGAGAGAGAGATTTTGGGAGATGTTAAGTGAATGTATAGGAGCCTTTGAACCAAGTGAGAGAGTAATTGTGGTAGGGGACCTGAATGCTAAAGTAGGAGAAACTTTTAGAGAGGGTGTGGTAGGTAAGTTTGGGGTGCCAGGTTTAAATGATAATGGGAGCCCTTTGAACTTTGTATAGAAAGGGGTTTGGTTATAGGTAATACATATTTTAAGAAAAAGAGGATAAATAAGTATACAAGATATGATGTAGGGCGAAATGACAGTAGTTTGTTGGATTATGTATTGTAGATAAAAGACTGTTGAGTAGACTTCAGGATGTACATGTTTATAGAGGGGCCACAGATATATCAGATCACTTTCTAGTTGTAGCTACACTGAGAGTAAAAGGTAGATGGGATACAAGGAGAATAGAAGCATCAGGGAAGAGAGAGGTGAAGGTTTATAAACTAAAAGAGGAGGCAGTTAGGGTAAGATATAAACAGCTATTGGAGGATAGATGGGCTAATGAGAGCATAGGCAATGGGGTCGAAGAGGTATGGGGTAGGTTTAAAAATGTAGTGTTAGAGTGTTCAGCAGAAGTTTGTGGTTACAGGAAAGTGGGTGCGGG